AGAAATATATTCTTCCTTTCGTAATTCATACTTAAGAAATATATTCTTCCTTTCGTAATTCATACTTAAGAAATATATTCTTCCTTTAGCCTTTAGTTTATTTGTATGGTCGCATTTGCTTTCATTCGGAAGTTCTATTAGGTATCTTCTATTTTTCTAAGAGAAAGGCAATAAAGCAATATATTGATCTTTTTATTTTATTTTATTTTACAAAAAGGGATATGTGATTTTTTTGCTTTTGCTTTCTCCTTCTAATTCTTCCTTTTGTAATTCATACTTAAGAAATATATTCTTCCTTTCGTAATTCATACTAGAAATATATTCTTCCTTTAGTTTATTTGTATGGTCGCATTTGCATATATTCCGAAGTTCTATTAGGTCTCTTTTATTTTTCTAAAGAGAAAGGCAATAAAGCATATGCTGCATGTTAAACAAATATGCAGAGAGAGTGATGCTATTGGGACCGTGAGCTCTTATCTTTTGGCCTTTTTCGTTTAATTTCTCCATCATTTCGTAAGGAGAAAGAAGGATCAATTAAGTAAAACTAACTCACAATTATTATTATCTGTGTAGATTTAGTTCACAAATTATGTACTTGCATTATTTTAATTAAAAAATATAAAAGTATAGTCCACTTTATATGAATTACACTATTTTTAACTTTTGATAGAAAGTGAGATCACAATATCTAAAAAACTACCCCTCTTTCGATGATTAAGTGAACTTCACTTTTCTATTCAAGCATTATAAATATTATGTAGATCTGTACACCAATGCAAGCAACCTAAGGTGTCAAATTATAGTTGCTCATTACCTCGATACTAAGTTAAGAATCATTTTTTATACTATTAAGAATTATTTGAGCTAAAAGCTTAAATTCACAACCAAGAAACTTGCATGAGCTGATGTACTCCAAGAATAAAGGGAAAACGAATAAAGTTATTACATGATTTGCCCGAAGAATTACGTGAACCCATAAGCCAAAAGGTTGGGACACATTTGAAGCTTAAGGTTGCAAAGAATAAAGTGTCGATGTAATTACATGCTTTACCTAAAGAACACATTAATGACAGCTGACAGACTTGATAAGAATTATAAATTGAAGGGTAATAAATTTATAGATGCA